TCTTTAAATAAAAACTTTGAATTGATTTTTTTCCCCAGACAATAACCTCACGCCAGCTTATTGAGTTTGGAATTGAGATCTGCAAAGGAATGGATTATATCACTCAGAAAAAGATTGTTCACAGAAATCTTGCAGCAAAGAACTGCATGTAAGTATTTCTTATCTAAGTTTGCCTTGTGTTTCATATAGTTGCCTTTTATCTTAGTTTTCTTCTTTTTTGCGAAGAATGTAGATGATTCAGGTTTGTAATGATCAGGAAAATAAAGATTTTTCAAACATTTGCACCCTATCTTATAGGCAATCTAATTTTAATAGTTTTCACTTTGCAATTGATAGTCACATGCCTTAGTTTACTGCTGGCGTACAGAGGCTGTTGCTCTGACTGAGTATTTGGGTTAATATATTTCCCTGCATTTTGAGATGATGATTTATAAAATAATTAAGAAGGGATTAGGTTTTCCATCTCAGGAAATCAGACTTATCTGAAAGTGTTTTCCTTTAGTGTCAATGATGATTTGAGTATCAAGATCACTGACTTCAGTTTGGCCAGAGATGTGAACACAACAAACTTGAATGACAAGGGAATACGGTCTAGATTACTTGTCAAATGGACAGCACTTGAGGGTTTAGCAGAGGAGGGTCAATTTTCAGAAAAAAGTGATGTGGTATGTTTCATTTCTTTTTCACTCTTTGAAGATAAATTTGGTTTTGCCTGGCTTGTCAAAATTAGGACTCTTAATTTATATTGCAAGCGCTCAGCTGGTAGTTCATCATTAACTTTAAACATTGCATAAAGATTAAACCCTTTAGGAAGAGATGAATTTGAAAATTGTACTTGCAAGTTAAGAACAAATCAGTGTGCTTATTCTACACAGTGTTCTGTATACATTTCCGATAGAACTGCATAAGAGAATTTCTTTAACAATAAAGAACTACATAAGTTAGTGATTATTTCTTTTATTCTCATGACCCTGATGTTTGGTTTAGTGGTTATACACTGAGGAGAATTTGGATGCTTATCACTCTTAGGGATTAAATTCTTATGAGTGGCTTACAGAGGAATATATCACCATTAGTAAAGAGAATTTGCTTGTAGAACATGGAAAGGAATCAGGGATACTTGAGCAATTGTTATCACAATGACATTGACTTTGCACAACAGCAACAGATTTTACAGGTTGTGATTTATTCCTTCACAGTGGTCATTTGGAGTTGTTTTATGGGAGATTGTAACTCTTGCTAAGGCACCGTATCAAGCTATTGACAGTTCAAAAATGGAGCAGCATCTGCAAGCTGGACATAGATTACCACAACCTAATAACTGTCCTTATGACTTGTAAGTTTTATCTTGTATTTCCATAACAAAAAAATGAGCTGTAAGCTTAAAATTTCAATTTGTCTCTTTTTTTTCCTTTTTTTTTTCTTTTAAGGGAGCGATTCCCTTAAATAACTCATCTTTTGTTAATAATAAAATAAAGAATGGGTGGGTTCCAATAGTCCACATTGATATCCTTCTGTGAAACAGGTCTGAGCATTCAGAGGTTAATCCTTTATCTCCTAGAAGTGTTTAACCCATAACTTCTCCCCATAAAATCCATAAATTATCCAAAAATCAGGTACTGAGAATACTCAAACTTATCAGGTCAAGGTTATCTTGATCAAACACCAAATTCTCATAACTAGGTTACAACAAAATGTGTAACAGCTGGAGGGGGGAAATTAACAATGAGATCTTGGTAGTTAAAGGGTTATGGCATTGTTTTGACCTTCACTGTGTCTTTTTGCAGATATTTCTTAATGAAAAACTGCTGGGAATCCAGTCCAAAAGCAAGACCAACATTTAGTCTGTTATTAAAGCAATTGGAACACCACTCCACAAGGCTGGTGCAAAATGGACTCAAGTTTGAATATCTACCAGAGTCTGACTGTTGATGAAGGGAAATTTGTTGCTTTTCTGGGCTTATTATTACCACTTAAATATATAATTTTTGTACTTGTGGCTGTATCATAGGAAAAAAATAATTTTTGTACATTGTATAGGTTTATCAAATTATAGCCATTTAAAATTCAAGTAGCCTTATTTCAGGTATGTTTGAAGCGTGGCAGTTAAAAGATTCTTTGGTTGTTACATTAAAGGTGGCTGTTTGGGTGGGTCAGTTTTTTAAAAATATTAAGCCACTATTTAATGAAATTGAAGGCAAAGTTTTGCTTTTGAAAACACAGACATGTGGGAAGACTTCCATTTTACAAAATTGTAGGTTATGGGTCAGTATTTTCGTAGGATTTTTTCAGTGTTGCTTTTAGCACTTTTCTTTTCCAATGTTGTGTTTCACATGTCAATTGTTAAGTCATATGGTAAAATGAAAACTCATATTTCATTGGGAAGTTTTTGTTTCTGAAGGAAGCCCCTGTGCACAGGAGCGTAATCTTCTGGAGATAGATCACAATTTTTTATTGTAAAGCTGTTCTTCAAATTAACATGCTATATTTTTCATAGTGATTTACCATTGTTTTGCTGCTATAAAATTCTATGCCTTTTTTTTCTCTTGTGCTGTCTGATAACATTGTTAAGTTTCCCTAGTTACATTTTACTGTTGCAGTATAACTGTGATTGGTGGCATTGGTTGTTTGGTTTCAAAGTTCACATGGAAGTCATTTTGTAAATACAGTATCCATTGTTCCATTTCCAATTTTTCAGGGACATGTTTTATATTCTAGTTATGCTTTGTTCATCTTGTTTGTTGAAAATCAACATTTGAGTAGGTATCATAAAGTTTTACCCCTTATTTGCTTCATCAGGCCATTCATTAGAAAACTCTATGTTTTTTGTTTGGTAAATCATATTTGGGTTAATAGTATCAAACAAGGTTTAACTTTGTCCACAGCATGTCATCAAACTTATTGCCTTCAGACCCTAAAGAGCTTATATTATTAATTAGCTAACCTACAAAATTAAATCACTATAAATTGTTATTTACTTAGTAAAAAGGGAGTATTTTTCTACTAAGTTTCCAAAAAAACTCCAATATTAACTTTTTTTAAAACATCATATTTGCTCACCAATCTTAACTTTGGTGGGTGTTGAATGTTTTTCAAAAAGAGTAGCGCAAGTCCCCCTACCAGATTTGGACAATTTAAGGGCAACATAAAATTTTTTGCAAATAAGCTCAGTGTTTATGGTTTTGGAAAATGTAAATTATGTTTTCCAAGCCATTTTCTGAGACATATTGTTAGAAAATTCTGTTACAGGCTATTTTGTACATTTAACACAGTAAAATTTTCAAAACAGTTTGTTTTGCAACATTGTTTATGGAGATGCTGGGATTGGATCATATTTGCGAATTAGCAGTAGAAAGCTACTGCAAATGTTAATCTGTGTATGGAGCTTACTAGAATTGTAGTTTTCAAATTTGTTCTTTTGGTTCATGTTCAGATTTGTACAGTGTAATTAGTTTTTTTTTTGACGGGATGTTAGTAATAGAACGTCTCAAAAGTATAACAGAACGAGCGCATTTTTCTTTAGCGTATTGCATAATGTATGGCTTCTCTTTATAACTTAATCTCATAACACGATTGTTAATAGTGGTTGGTTAATTTTAATGCAGTAAAGTGTTGTGGAAAAACGTTGTTTCGGAGCCAAAGTTGAGCCGCTTGCTTAAAACATACCTTAGAATGAAGATATGTAGATACAGTATTAATAAAATGTTTTGTAAAGAAATAAACACATATCACGTTAAAAGTAATAGCCAAAAATATATATGATGTAAATAGTGATTTTAAGGTAACTGTGTCTTTGAATGGTGGATCCTTCTGGCAATAAACATGTAATTTAGCATTTCTTGTTGGGCATGAATTGTTATACGTTCTGTCAGAAATGATTTAGCTTTGGTGATGAGACTCTGAAGGTCACTTCAATTTTACATCTCATATTAGAGTTATGTTGCAATATTGAAGCATTTCATGCAACAGTTACTCTGATATGCGGTCTTTTCACGCAATGCGGGAGAGAGCGCATTGCGTGACGAGATAAACGACGGCTGCGAAGGAGAGGTTATGTTTCGTAACTCTGTACACCCCAACATCATCATGCAGATTCTCCATACTGTTCTCCATACATGTCTTAAGACTCTGACATAAATAATTTGTTTCATAACCATCGAGCGCATCGTCAGTTGGTGATCATTTCCGTTTTTCTTGTGACCTTTATATTTCATTTTATAAATGATATTATTAAGAGAAATTAGATGCCTGTCACTTCTCCTGGGTTTAAGTGTTAAGCTGCATGAAAATCAGTCTAGGTTTGCGGCATCAATGAAAGTTTTGCGTATCTTTTGACGGCAAGTTACACTAACGGTTAAGATACTTTAAAACTCGGACATTTTTCGTGAAGGATCCACTGTTTTAAAATCATTTTGTTATTTTTGAGTGTTACTGAGTCACGATTGCATGACGTATGACGCAGGGTAAGAGCTTTTTTCACTCTTCTCACGGTGGAGAGGAGGTGGCACAGATTCAGACAATTAAATAATAAGTATTGCATTTTGAAACTGTTTTGCGCCATGCTTATTTAAAGAATCATTGAAAAAAACCTTGCGCTTAGGAAACACTCATCATTTATCGCCTCCCGTCCCTCCCTAGGAATTAATATTGACCGGTCCCTTGGCCTGAAACCATATAAATTATGTCATTTCACATCACTCTGCTTTCAATTCTCTATTGAGAGAACTTCATACCATGTTTCATTTCTTTCAGCCTAACTTAAAAGCTTTATGCCTTCACCTTCCATGAAATAGAACAAGTAAGCAGCAGTTTTGATCGATAAATTCCTCGTGAAGATTCACGTTGGTCGGCGATCCGGCGACTAGCATACTCTGGTAGCCGATCAGAACATAGATTCGCCAAATCTTTCCGGCCGCTCGAATAGACAGCCATAATTTGAAGGTGTATTTCACTAGTTCCGTTCATGCAAGTCCAACATATCAAAATCCAACAATCAGAGATGAATTGTCGGCTATGAGAATCGAAGTGTTAATTTGGTTGAAGGAAAAAAACAACTGCCCTTCATTCAGTATGTCGTAACGATTAAAAATAACTGCTTTTTATTCACAACAGCGTTCATCTCAACATCTTAATAATTTTAATAAAATAACTGGTCTAGGCAACAAGTTTTTACAGAATAAGGTACAATACCAGAAATCTAACGAAGTCCGGTAGAAATTCTTGCACCAAAATGTCACTAGTAACTCAGTGCGCTCGGATTAACCTTGTTAACTCCTAATCTACAATTTTTTTCCCTACAAAATTATGGGATATGTGGCCTTCCCTTTAAACTCGAAGGGGTATTTTTAACTTGAGGGCCATCATCAAAAATAGATCTAGAATCCTAGACTAGACAGCTGTAGACTGCTTGTGTGACCAGCTATTAAAATCGTTATCGTCGCTGAAAATAGGAAAATGCTAGTTTCTCGAGGAATTAGTTTAATGTAGTCAAAAAAATTAGCGTTGCCCCGATGTCGATATATGTATGTATATTGTATATTGGGCATGGAGATCACTTTATAAAAGTACTTGAGATGGTTCCCCGCGAAAAAAACAAACAAATGAAACCGAAAAAAGATTTTGAAAATCTTTGAAAACCTTACCCTTAACGTTTTATCATCATGCTTGAGATAACATATGATTTCCGGATAAAATCATAACAATTAAGTTCGAGTATACTTTTAACCTTGAAAAAAACTCTGCGCATTTGATATGATAAAGAGCCTCTTATAAAAAGTTACTCCATATTTGCTAGGGCTACACGACATTACTTAAAATTTACTTTGCTTAATAAATTAATCGCTTTCGAAAAAATTAGTTACATTATGCTTGGCTGGAGTATTTAACTATTCCCTTTCGAGAAAGGAGTTTGAGTTTGCTCAGTAACTGCTTAAAGTTAATCATCTCTACTTTATGAATTGTCCTGTCCCTAGCGCGCTCTTTACAAGAATGTTTTGTTGAATGCTTAAAATTTAGCTCGCAGACTTCTTTCGCAAATGGCTTCCCCTTTCTATACGGTGGCAATTAACAGTTCTTGTTCTAGCTTTAATCGGTCCAGCACATTCCGTTACAGCGGGTTTACTTGACTCCTGGCTATTTGGTTGTAGTAGACACAGGCCAATTTGCAAAATCAAACGTCACGTTGTCGCCAATCAGCATAAAAGAAGCCCACTTAGAGACCTCCACAAAGCCATTGTTTCTCATCCATTTCCTGGCCTCGTGAAGAGATTCACTGGCGCTTTCACCGCGGAACAAGTGCTCATAGAAACAAGTCATGAACTTCTCTGTGGCTGTGTCATCTATGGCCCACCGTGCCGCTAACACTGAGCGAGCACCGGATCCTAAGAACGCTCGAGCGATTCCAATAACTCCCTCGGCTTTAATCTGTCCGCGTGCACTGTGACAACAGCTAAGCACAACCAGTTTAGCTCGCAGCTTAATTCGTGAAATGTCCTCCATCGTCAAGAGGAAGGCTTCTTCTCGTGGAACATAATCAGCGGGACACTCAGGAGAAAGGACAATCTCTCCTCTTTCAGCATCACCATGGGCAGCTAAATGGATCAGACTCACTGAATGTATTGCTTGAAGTACAGCCTGCTTTGTCGCGCGATCTCCAATCAAAGGTGTCACGCCAAGAAGGCGTCCAATCATCTTTTCTTCCTTTCTTGCACATCGCAATCGTGTTATATTCTTGCGTCTTCCTTGTAAATCACCTCTCCAACCTGAGGGTCACCGACTATCAGTGCACCTGTTTGACTGTGATAGTATGGGGGACTGTCCTGAATAAGTTTGAGAGTCGTCAAAGAGGGAACGATGCGTAACCTGAATGTCTCCGATACAAAGTTTCTTCCATCGTCAGTTAAAGCCGCAAATGGTACCTGGTACATACAGGAATCAGGGACAATGATAATTTCGGGCTCCTTCAGTAAAGCGGCCACAGGAGCGATGATTATCTTGTGACACAATTGAAGATTTGTCTTGATACCTTTGTCATCACAATCGCGCAGGAGCGCGTGATTTTCATGGTAAAGTGACATCGATTCGGTGTCATCTAGAGATCGATCTTCGCAATTCTGTTCGGGTAAAATGCCAAGGCCACGAAAGCTTTTCGTAAAAACTCATCCAAGTTAGGGACTAATCCGGTCACCACATTTTTGTCCAGGCTCACTTCTTCATCTTTAAAATGATAGCCCCTGTTGCTTTGAGAATCCAATAGTGCATATGCTTTTCTCCAACCGAAATGTAGAGGCATGCGCAGTCAGCTTCCTTTGCGACAATGTTTTGAATCCCATACCATGATTTTGGATCGCCTGAGATCTGCTTTACAACAGAGTAGCGAGCCCCCATCAAGTCGGCCAAGCCCCTCGCCCGTCTCAACTCCTCGACATAGAGGGCGTGGTGTGGCTTTGCCTTGGAAGAAAGTAAGCTACTGAGCAACTTGTATGGAAAGGTGCCGTGCTCCTCTAAAAGTGATGTTTTAAACTGATCATTTTCTTTTAGAGATCCTCGCAACGTGTCGAAAATTTGAATGGTTTGGAAAAGACACGAAAAGGCTTCTTCAAGATCATTTTGTGATACCTTCAACACCGTTAGATCAAGAAGGCATTGAAACTCACGCGAGCTGTGTCCAACATCCCTGCTTAATGAGAGAGCTCTCTTGAGGTATTCCTCGGCCATGTCATATTTACCGAGCGATTGGAAACACGATGCTATATGTGCGTAACCGACAACAACACCTTCTTTCGTACCATTTTCCATGTGAATTTCAAGGGCTTTCTTGTGATATTCTAGAGCATTGTCGTACTCACCACGCTTACAAGAAATCCTCCCAAGGTTTCCGAAATGTATTGCTTGTCCACTTCTGTCACCGATTTCCCTCCAAATTGCCACTGCTCTCTCAAGAAAATCTTCAGCCTTTCGATATTGACCGAGGGACAGAAAAAATGAAGTAAGGTTTCCGTAAGTGTCTGCCTCTCCTTTTCTTCCGCCAATTCCCCTGTAAATACGTAGGGCTTTCTCCAGGTATTCTCGGGCCTTGTCATGTTCGCCAAGCAATTGAAACAGTCTTCCGAGGTTCCCGTAGTTTGTTGCTTCTCCTTCTCTGTCGCCAATTTCTATTTTCATAGTAAGTGCTTTCTCTAGGTATTTTCGGGCCCCATCATATTTGCCGAGCAATTCGAACACTATTCCAAGGTACCCGCAACTTGTTGCCTCTCCATTTCTGTCTCCAATTTCTGTTTGGATAGCTAGAGCTTTTTCCAGGTACTCATGGGCCTTGCCATATTTGCCGATCGATAGGAACACTGTTCCAAGTGTTCCGTAGCTTGTTGCCTCTGCATTTCTGTCGCCAATTTCTATTTGGATAGCGAGAGCTTTCTCCAGATATTCTTGGGCCTTGCCATATTCGCCAAGCGATCTAAACAGCGCTCCAAGGTTCCCGTAGCCTGTTGCCTCTCCATCTCTGTCGCCAATTTCTATTTTGATAGCAAGTGCTTTCTCTAGGTATTCTTGAGCCCTGCCATTTTCGCCAAGCGATCTGAACAGTGTTCCTAGGTTCCTGTAGATTGTTGCCTCTCCATTTCTGTCGCCAATTTCTATTTTGATAGCAAGAGCTTTCTCCAGGTATTCTTGAGCCTTGTAATATTTCCCAAGCGATTTGAACAGTGTTCCGAGGTTCCCGCAGCTTGCTGCCTCTCCAATTCTGTCGCCAATTTCTATTTGGATAGCGAGAGCTTTCGCTAAGTATTCTCGGGCCTTGGCGAATTTGCCAAGTGACTGGAACATTGTTCCGAGAATATGGTAGCTTGTTGCCTCTCCATTTCTGTTGCCAATTTCTATTTGGATAGCAAGAGCTTTCTCCGAGTATTCTCGGGCCTTGTCTAATTTGCCAAGTGACTGGAACACTGTTCCGAGGCTATGGTAGCTTGTTGCCTCTCCATTTCTGTCGCCAATTTCTATTTGCATAGCGAGAGCTTTCTCCAAGTATTCTCGGGCCTTGTCGTATTTGCCAAGCGACTGAAACACTGTTCCGAGGTTCTGGTAGCTTGTTGCCCCTCCATTTCTGTCGCCAATTTCTATTTTGATAGCAAGAGCTTTATCCAGGTATTCTTGAGCCTTGTAATATTTCCCAAGCGATATGAACAGTGTTCCGAGGTTCCCGCAGCTTGCTGCCTCTCCAATTCTGTCGCCAATTTCTATTTGGATAGCCAGAGCTTTCTCCGAGTATTCTCGGGCCTTGTCGTATTTGTAAAGCGATATGAACAGTGCTCTGAGGTTATTGTAGCTTTTTGCCTCTCCATTTCTGTTGCCAATTTCTATTTGGATAGCGAGAGCTTTCTCCAAGTATTCTCGGGCCTTGTCGTATTTGCCAAGCGACCGAAACACTGTTCGAGGTTCACGTAGCTTGTGGCCTCTCCATTTCTGTCGCCAATGTCTATTTGGATAGCGAGAGCTTTCATCAAGTATTCTCGGGCCTTGTTGTATTTGCTAAGCGATACGAACAGTGCTCCGAGGTTCACGTAGCTTGTGGCCTCTCCATTTCTGTCGCCAATGTCTATTTGGATAGCGAGAGCTTTCATCAAGTATTCTCGGGCCTCGTCGTATTTGCCAAGCGACCGAAACACTGTTCCGAGGTTCACGTAGCTTGTGGCCTCTCCATTTCTGTCGCCAATGTCTATTTGCATAGCGAGAGCTTTCTCCAGGTATTCTCGGGCCTTGTCGTATTTGCTAAGCGATACGAACAGTGCTCCGAGGTTCGAGTAGCTTGTGGCCTCTCCATGTCTGTCGCCAACTTCTATTTGGATAGCGAGAGCTTTCTCCAAGTATTCTCGGGCCTTGTCGTATTTGCCAAGCGACTGAAACACTGTTCCGAGGTTCTGGTCGCTTGTTGCCTCTCCATTTCTGTCGCCAATGTCTATTTGGATAGCGAGAGCTTTCTTCAAGTATTCTCGGGCCTTGTCGTATTTGCTAAGCGATATGAACAGTGCTCCGAGGTTCACGTAGCTTGTGGCCTCTCCATTTCTGTCGCCAATGTCTATTTGGATAGCGAGAGCTTTCTTCAAGTATTCTCGGGCCTTGCCGTATTTGCTAAGCGATATGAACAGTTGTCCAAGGTTGGAGTAGTTTGCTGCCTCCCCATATCTGTCGCCAATTTCTATTTGGATAGCGAGAGCTTTCGCTAAGTATTCTCGGGCCTTGGCGAATTTGCCAAGTGACTGGAACACTGTTCCGAGAATATGGTAGCTTGTTGCCTCTCCATTTCTGTTGCCAATTTCTATTTGGATAGCAAGAGCTTTCTCCAAGTATTCTCGGGCCTTGTCTAATTTGCCAAGTGACTGGAACACTGTTCCGAGGCTATGGTAGCTTGTTGCCTCTCCATTTCTGTCGCCAATTTCTATTTGCATAGCGAGAGCTTTCTCCAAGTATTCTCGGGCCTTGTCGTATTTGCCAAGCGACTGGAACACTGTTCCGAGGCTCTGGTAGCTTGTTGCCTCTCCATTTCTGTCGCCAATTTCTATTTTGATAGCGAGAGCTTTCTCCAGGTATTCTTGGGCCTTGTCGTATTTGCCAAGCGATATGAACAGTGTTCCGAGGTTCCCGTAGCTTGTTGCCTCTCCATGTCTGTCGCCAATTTCTATTTGGATAGTGAGAGCTTTCTCCAGGTATTCTCGAGCCTTGTCGTATTTGCCAAGCAACCCGAATACTGTTTCGAGGTTCCCATAGATTGTTGCCTCTCCATGTCTGTCGCCAATTTCTATTGGAATAGCGAGAGCTTTCTCCAGGTATTCTTGGGCCTTGTCTAATTTGCCAAGCGATGTGAACAGTGCTCCGAGGTTCGCGCAGCTTGTTGCCTCTCCATTTCTGTCGCCAATTTCTATTTGGATAGCGAGAGCTTTCTTCAAGTATTCTCGGGATTTGTCGTATTTGCAAAGCGACAGGAACACTCTTCGAGGCTCTGGTAGCTTGTTGCCTCTCCATTTCTGTCGGCAATTTCTATTTGGATAGCGAGAGCTTTCTCCAGGTATTCGCGGGCCTTGTCGTAATTGCTAAGTGATAGGAACATTGCTCCGAGATTCGTGTAGCTTGTTGCCTCTCCATGTCTGTCGCCAATTTCTATTTGGATAGCGAGAGCTTTCTCCAGGTATTCGCGGGCCTTGTCATATTTGCCAAGCGACATGAACAGTATTCAATGTCCGTGTAGCTTGTTGCCTCTCCATTTCTGTCGCCAATTTTTATTTGGATAGCGAGTGCTATCTCCAAATATTCTTTCCCTTTGTTATATTCTCCTAGGAAACACAGAAGCACTCCTAGTCTTCTATAATATTCCGCTTCTTTTTGTCTGTTTTCGGTCATTTTCATGACATTTATTGCTGATTCATAAAATTTCTTTTCCTCTTCAGGGTGAAGTAAAAGTTCCCTGAGGTATTCTTCAATACCTGGTGAATTGCATAGAGTGAGCCACGCCCTTTTCACTGTGGTGCGGATGTGCTCGTCAAATGACTTGGCAACTGGACTGTCCGCGCTTAAATCACCATTGTTCAGTAAAATCAAGCTTTCTTGGCACAGCTCGATGGCTTTCAAGGTCAAACCATTGTTGAGAAGGAAAATGGCGACAGTTACACCTATTTTGATAGCTAACGTGGTGAATTCCT